ATAAATCTATCTATATTTTAAAAATATAAAGAATTGAATAATAGCATATTATTAAAATGCAATCTACATAGAACTGCAAGAGGAAATGTAATTTAGAATAAATGATCAAATTATTTCAGCTAAAAGTGCTTTAAAAGCATCAAACTAGATATATTTACATATTATATTTGTATGCTATAAAAAGTTGTATATTTTAAAAACAGACAAATAAAATAAACTATTATGAAAATGCAATAAATAATTGATATATTATACTTACATGGTGTAATAATTCTGTCGATTATAAAATAAATAGTCAATAATATTGTTTAATTATATTATATAAAAATATATATTTGCATATTTTATTTTAATAAATATTTGACAAAAGTTTTATATTTATAATAATTATTTTTCACTTCACTCTAGTGACTCCCTTTAATAAATTACTATATATATATATACACACACACACAGTTTTTAATTACACAATTTATTAAAAATTACTTTTTCTCTTTCAGTTATTTGTAGATTAAAAAATTATGATAAAAATTAAAATATAAAAAATATTGTCAAATACTGTAATAAGTTATGTGTGTACAATATGTACAATATGTGTGTGTGTACATATATATATAGTAATTTATTAAATCATATATAATTATATATAATACAAATGTATTACATTATATATATAATTAGAAATTATGTCAGCTCAGGAAACAATTGCCAAAGGAGCATATATAAAATGAGTAGATATATTTATATTTATATGTATAATAAATCTATCTATATTTTAAAAATATTAAGAATTGAATAATAGCATATTATTAAAATGCAATCTACATAGAACTGCAAGAGGAAATGTAATTTAGAATAAATGATCAAATTATTTCAGCTAAAAGTGCTTTAAAAGCATAAAACTAGATATATTTACATTTTATATGTGTATGCTATAAAAAGTTGTTTATTTTAAAAACAGAAAAATAAAATAAACGATTATTAAAATGCAATCACACTGAAATACAAGAGCAGAACATTTAATTTATAACAAATTTAAGCAAGTAAATATTAAAAATGATTTCAGCTCAAAGTACTTTAAATATATAATTACAAAAGGAGAATATTTAAAATAGATATATTTACATATATTCTATAATAAATCTATGTGCGTTGTAAAAATATAAAAAAGGTATTATTAAATATTATTAAAATGTGATCTACAAAGAACAAGAAGACGTAAAAGTTAAAATTACATTTTTACAATTTATAATATAAAACCGTGTTATTGCAGTAGACTTAACATCTCTAGCACCTGAAACACTGGCACAATGTGAAAGCATTGCTTCGAATAAAGCGTGAACACGTGTGAGTCTTCAGGAGAAGTTTGGCTTGAAGAGCAGACATCTGTCATCAGCTCTGAGCTTTCAGAAGAGACCAGCGGCTGATCTTAGCTGGATGTGAGAGGATTTAGCTTGCATTTCCAGCAGCGTCAAGACGAACGCATCAGCTTTTCAAGCCTCTGGTGTTGAAGAGAAGAAAGGCTTCATTTAAAGCCTCTCCGTGATTTTATAATTCTTTGGCCTTCGGAATGTAAAACCTCCGGGAAACTGATTAGTCACACTGTTACGACCCTGACAGCGTCATTTCAGCTAAACTACAACTCAAATAACCCATAAACTTCAACCAAACCAAGTACCATTAAATACTGCAATATATGTTTTACAGTTTTTAAATATGAATCTTTTTTTTTTAAGTTTGTGGAGGTAAAATATATGAATTGCATTCGCAGATATATTTATATTTATACGTATGTATAATAAATCTATCTATATTTTAAAAATATAAAGAATTGAATAATAGCATATTATTAAAATGCAATCTACATAGAACTGCAAGAGGAAATGTAATTTAGAATAAATGATCAAATCGTATGTATAATAAATCTATCTATATTTTAAAAATATAAAGAATTGAATAATAGCATATTATTAAAATGCAATCTACATAGAACTGCAAGAGGAAATGTAATTTAGAATAAATGATCAAATTATTTCAGCTAAAAGTGCTTTAAAAGCATAAAACTAGATATATTTACATTTTATATGTGTATGCTATAAAAAGTTGTTTATTTTAAAAACAGAAAAATAAAATAAACGATTATTAAAATGCAATCACACTGAAATACAAGAGCAGAACATTTAATTTATAACAAATTTAAGCAAGTAAATATTAAAAATGATTTCAGCTCAAAGTACTTTAAATATATAATTACAAAAGGAGAATATTTAAAATAGATATATTTACATATATTCTATAATAAATCTATGTGCGTTGTAAAAATATAAAAAAGGTATTATTAAATATTATTAAAATGTGATCTACAAAGAACAAGAAGACGTAAAAGTTAAAATTACATTTTTACAATTTATAATATAAAACCGTGTTATTGCAGTAGACTTAACATCTCTAGCACCTGAAACACTGGCACAATGTGAAAGCATTGCTTCGAATAAAGCGTGAACACGTGTGAGTCTTCAGGAGAAGTTTGGCTTGAAGAGCAGACATCTGTCATCAGCTCTGAGCTTTCAGAAGAGACCAGCGGCTGATCTTAGCTGGATGTGAGAGGATTTAGCTTGCATTTCCAGCAGCGTCAAGACGAACGCATCAGCTTTTCAAGCCTCTGGTGTTGAAGAGAAGAAAGGCTTCATTTAAAGCCTCTCCGTGATTTTATAATTCTTTGGCCTTCGGAATGTAAAACCTCCGGGAAACTGATTAGTCACACTGTTACGACCCTGACAGCGTCATTTCAGCTAAACTACAACTCAAATAACCCATAAACTTCAACCAAACCAAGTACCATTAAATACTGCAATATATGTTTTACAGTTTTTAAATATGAATCTTTTTTTTTTAAGTTTGTGGAGGTAAAATATATGAATTGCATTCGCATATAAATAGTTTAAAGGGGTCATCGGATGCCCATTTTCCACAAGTTGATATGATTCTTTAGGGTCTTAATGAAAACTAAAAATGTCTCAATGGAAGTGTAAAAAACAGCTCCTTTCAGATCAAGCCGTTTTGTAGCATTTTCCTTTAAATGTTAATGAGCTCTGCTGGCCCCGCCCCTCTCTTCCAAGCTGCTCTCTGAGGGACTGTTTACTTTAGCCGCATTCATCGTGAAACT